AGCTCTCCTCCTGTTGGTTAGCCGTTAGCGGTGCTGCTAACGTTACTGGCTCTCCTGTTGGTTAGCCGTTAGTGGTGCTGCTAACGTTACTAGCTCTCCTCCTGTTGGTTTAAACACTGATTGGTTGTTTACAATGAAACATGATCAGAGATCAGAGACTAGAACACATGTTCTACTGAGTCAGTAAAACTTTATTTACACTCTGATGGTTAACGTTAAACTGTGAGGGGATCAGCACCTCTACTTTAGACCTCTTTGAATCCTTTTAATTTTTCATAAATCCATTTCTGCGATGAGCTTCCTGCCTCATGTGAAGGTTTTTTATCGGTGCAGTGCGAGTATATTTTCATGCAGCTCATCACTGCGGGAACTTGAGTGATACGATCTGATTTGACAGGAGTGGAAGAAAGGAGCGAGGGAGGAGGGACGGGACTTAAAAGCAAAAGAGAGGAAGTTCAGTGGCAGGACATGAAAGGCTGGAATGTGATGGAGGGACAGAGAGGAAGAGGAGACGAGAGAAGACCGGTGTGATGAAGAAAAAAAATAGGAGAGGAGCAGCAGGGAGAGATAGAGAAGGTGAGAGCGATGGCTGGTGAGAGATGGAGGACAGGAAGGAAGGGAGTGTTAAAGTTTTATATTAAAGGTTTAACCTGAAGGAGCGAGTGAGAGAGAGAGAGAGAGAGAGAGAGAGAGAATGGAGGGACCACATTCGAGGTGAGAGAGCAAGCAAATGTAGACAAATTGTGTTTGGAGCAAAGATGGAGACGGATGTGTTTAAAGTCTGAGTGTGGAGAGAGGAAGAGGAAGAGGAAGAGATGGGAGGATGAGGTTGGATAGGTGGGGGAGGGAGGGAGGGAGAAGAAACAGAGGGAGTAGGGAGAGGAAGAGAAGAGGAGAGGGTAATGCTACTAAAGCCCCCGATTCACATACGAGGCCACATATATTATGGAAAATTGGCCATTGCGGAAAATTCTGTGCAATTAGATGAAGGGCAAATTGCTGTGATTGGCTCTGAAATATGTTTCCTCGGGGCAGGTCCTGAGCGATGGCGGCCTTCTCATATTCTTCTCTCTGATTGTTCTCGGAGTTCATCTGGAGTCGACCCGCTCACTGAGGCTGAAGCAACCCAACGCCCCCCCACGCTCTCCGTGATCTCCCTCTGTAGATGTGTGTCGTGGCTCAGATGGTGACGACTAATGATTCTTTACATTATTGATTGAAACTTAAAACTAATTGTTTTAAAGAGTAATCGAGTCTTTGTTGTGTCAGTCCAAAACCCTACAAGATACTCAGTGTGGTCGGATAGAAAACAGACAAAAAAGCAGGAAATCTCTATATTTCAGAATATAGAGAAAAATCGCAGAAAATTGTATTTTCTGCGATTCTTTGCATGAAAAATGTACTTAAACAATTGATTATTATTATTATTATTAATTTGGTTAGTCAACTAACCATTGCAGCTCAATACTTGACATTGTTTTATCAGCTTGATACTTTGTATGTGAATTGCTAAAAGAACGTGACTGATGACATGTTTCAGACGTCAGCTGCAGAACAGACTGTAAAACACGGTCAGATACCATAAAACATCACATTCTAGCCCATTTCCCAAAAAGTCTACTTGGGTTTCGGTTCTTGTGGTTTCAGAACAGTTTGTATATACGTTTGTGTGTAACAGAAAGTTAAACCTCAGTGGGGTCTAACTGAGCACAAACAATAAGGAAGCCAGTTTGAGCAAAAGTAAAACACGGATAATGTTCAAACTTCAGACACATGAGCCGACAGAGGAACAAAGCTGAACTCACCTTGACGATATCTCCCAGGTAAACGTCCTCCATCTTGTTCGGCACCGTCATCTGGAAGATCCGACCCACGACTGCCGAGGAGTCTGGGAAGGCGGTGGTGGGCGCGGCCGAGGTCTGCTCCGTCCCCGCTGCCTCTCCGGTGTCCATCGCCCGGATGTCTTCCGTCGGTTCCCTGAAGTCCCGGAGGAGCAAGGAGCTCATGGAGGCCTCCAGGTCTCCCCCTCTGCCCTCCCTGCCTCCCTCCATCAGCACCATCTCATCGGCCAGCGCGTCGATCTCCACGTCGGCGCGGGCCGACGGAGGGAGGAGGCCCACCGCGGCCAGCAGCAGGCCCAGCAGCAGGGCTCTAGTCCTGGGTAGTCTCACGTCGAGGCCCCTGCTCGCCCCGACGCGTCCCACACTCACTCTGTTGCGCATTCTTTTCCTTCTCGCCGGTCAATGATGCAGAAAAAAATTAAGTAAAAAAGAGAATGTCCAAGTGGGAGGGGGGGGACTTAGAGGGGAGCATGCACCCCCGACAGATAGAGCAAATCCCTCCTTTTCAAATGGCCCTCCCTCCTCTCTCTCCTTCCTCTCCTGTTTGTCCGCCTGGCGCCGGGGCAAGAATCTGTCCTCCTCCTCCTCCTCCTCCTCCTCCTCCTGGTCCTCCTCCTCCTCCCTTGGCTTTATTCTTCCTCTTCCCCTTTCGGCCTTTCAGAGGTTTAGAGGTCCCATTGTGCCGAGCACCTTAAGAGATCTGTTTGGAGACACACAAAGACAGAAGGCATGGTTAGGGGGGACGCTTTCAGAGCCGGGGGGGAGAGAGAGAAACATCCAGCTGCTGACCACTTCAGTCTCGTCACAAACCCCCCAAAAAACAGACTTAAAAGCGATTCGCACTGAATCAAAAGTCAATCCTCTTGATAAGTTCAGCCCCTTAAAGTGATTCGTGCCACACAAATGTCATTGTCGATGGAGATGGGGGGTAATATTTAGGCTGCTGAGTAATCTGATTAGTCCTTACAACAATTCTGTCTCTCGTTCGTCCCTCTCTCTCACAAGCTTGTCCTTTCTAAACAGCTCATCGGTGGGTCATTGAGGACGAAAAGAGCCCGATGGGGGGTGGGGTAGGAGACAGTGAAAGAGATGTGATGGAGAGAGGGAGAGGGAGAAAGAGAGAGAGAGAGAAATAGATAGATAGAGGGGGAGAGAGGTGATATACGGTGGGACTTTGGATCAGCCAACAATGCAGAAACCCAGTCAAAAGCTTTCTTGGAACCGCTAACGAATGCATGCCTTCTCTATTGTGAGAGGGGTCAGACTGAGTGTGTGTAGGTGTGTGCGTGTGTGTGGGCGGGGGGAGCATGTGCTGGTGTGCAAGCTAGTGTTTGCGTCCATTGTGGACTGGAGTTTGTTATTCATACAGCTCTTTCATGGAGGAGAGGATCCCCCCCTGTGCAAGTGTATGTGTGTCACAAATGATTTCCCCCCCCCCCCCCCCCCCCCCCCCCCAGGGGGCTTTCGGTTAAGGAGAGAAAGAGATGGAACTCCCCGGCAACAACAACACAAGGCTTCCCAGGTAGCTTTGACCGACTCACAAACAGACCCGGCGTCTGTAGCTCTGCGCTCCACCTTCACTCTTTAATCACGACTGCGGTCGCCGCCCCCCCCCGCTGTTTAAAACGGAGTCGACTTCAGGAAGCACAGCTTTTCTTCGCTCTACAACTTTTATCACTTTTATCTTTTTGCCAAAGTCGAGATTTTTTTATAAATCGCTTTTGAAGTTTACTTTTCATTGGAATTATCTCTGCGCACTATATTTTGGAGCGTTAAAAGTTCTCTGGAAAAGTAGTCCAAGATGGCTGCCGGGGGATAAACTCCGTCCCTTTCATGTTGGCTACCCTTCAACTGCGCTGCCGGGGGCAACGTCCCCCCCATCTTCCCCTATCTCCCCCTTTTCATTCAGCCGCGTGTTTCCTCTTCTTTTTTTAATGCGGTTTGCTTCTTTTCTTTGCTCGTCTCCGTCTCTCAGGATGTCTTTATGTCTCGTCTACCTTGCTTTTCTTTCTCTCTTTTCCTCCCCGGGCTTAAAGGTGCGCCACGCCTTCTCTCTCAAAGCTGAAAAACCTTCCGAGGCCTTTTATCCTCCTCTCTTCTCCACTTACTCTCCAAAAATATAAAAACACAGCACGTCTATTCATCGCGTGACAATGGATGATGATGATGACGGGGGACGGAGAGAGACAGACAGAGAGAGAGCGACAGACAGACAGACACAGAGAGAGAGAGAGAGAGAGAGAGAGGCAAGGAAGACATTTGGGACAGGTGGAGTGAGAGAAACAGAGACTGGAGACGAGCTGTAGGAGTTTCTCGTCTCTTAACATCTGAATTAAAGAGAGGACATGTCAAGAGACCTGCCTCCTGATTGGTCGAAAAACAACCGAGTTAACAACCACTAAGAGATGGCGTTACACATTTTGGACGTTGCAAGTTACAGAATTCTGTTTGGCCATTAACGTCACCCACAGCTTGAAACGGGGGGGGGTGGGGGTGGAAGTAGTTCACCGGGTGCCATGGCGACACCTTTTGTGACCGTGTGACTCTCTCTTCCCATTGGTCGAGGATCTTTTTTAGAGCCTCTCGCTGCCCTGCAATTACTGCAGAGATTTATGTTGTCTGGGGGGGGGGGGGTTGTCCCCCACATGTTGATCATCTTTGAGCTGTGAGGGCGGAGAGAGAAATTAAAAGGCATTTCAATCTTAGCTTTGAATCTATTTTTAGCAGACGAAGAAAAGCCTTTCGTTCTTTCCTTGTGATGAAAGGTGTTTTAGGAACTGACAATAGTCCTCAAACAGTGAAGTCACGCTACGTTTGTCCCGACTCAGACTTAAGGAATGAATCTGGGTACGCTGCTCAGAAACAACGCGTTTTATAATCGGCCTCATGTTGTATTTGCTTCACAAAATAAAACAGGAATCAGTAAATAGCTGCACTGACAGACTGATGGAGCAGCGTCATGACTGACTCCAGAGGTCGTGGCTCACCAGAGAGCTTCACAGTAACTCAACAGTACGGTCAATGCAACGCTAACGCCTTGTTCCTCACTGTATTTATGCAAACTGAGAATCCTGGGGGTTCATTTTGAGTCTTTTCTTTTTTTTTTGAGGCAACGTTGTGCAAAACAACGCTGTGGAAAGTACCACACTTGTGTTTTATCCTCAGCCAGACTCACCGATGACCTAAACATTATACTTTCTTCTGGATACTAGTGATGTCACGAGACCTGCGGTGCCAAGTCGATTCAGAAGACACGCCGGTACTCGTTTTTCTGAAGTACACCAGGTAGCGTAGGTGCCGAGGATCAGGGCTCAATATGTACGTACGATAGAGCATCCCCCTGATGATGCTACATCGTGAACATCGAATTGATGCTGGAGTTGGCGGGAGAAGAGCTAGTTATGGTTAGCCGTTAGCCGTTAGCAGCCGGTGGGCAGCACAGTCCTCCTAGCTAAATAACGGCACTAACTGCTAACGTTTACGGAGGTTGCATTATGACGCGTTCAAGCTCTTTTCAGTAAAAACATTGCATTGGGGGAAGGTACATTTGAACAGTATCGTGATGTGTTCAAATGGAATTTTGTAGAATTTAGTTTTGCGTGAGAAACTTGAGGTGAATCATCAGCAATTAATATAAAATGTTAAATGAAACCGTGAATCTTGGGATTTCACCGATATCGACGACGAAACTTCTGGTTTCCGGACATCCCTGCTGGACATTACACGCTAGCTGCTGCTCAGTGACAAAAATAAAACACCCAGACATGACACCATCTCCACTATCGGAGATGGTGGAGATGGTGTCATGTCCACCATCTCCGATAGTCTTTTAAGAAACACTTAACTCGACACGTGTCTTCCTCTGCGAGTGGACTCGGGACAGGGATTCAGGGGGAACGAGACACAAGGTCTAAAAGCAGATTGGAGATGTTCTGTCATCAGCTACAGAGCACAATGTGAAAACTGCTCTGTGAAATCTATAGTTAGCAGAGGGCGTATGCATTTCCCATTTGGTGTTTAATAACAGGGTGGACCGGGGGTGGTGTTACACCTCGTTACGCTCCAACGACTGCAGCTCAAGAACATGTCGTGATAATTGGAAAGGATGATACCAAACCCCTTTTAGAGTAACAGTCAGGGCTACCTTTGCAAATAAAAGTCATTGTACCTGTAGCTGCCTTGTGAAGGAGATCTGGTGTAGCGCTAAAACCATTAGCTCACCTCACAATCAACTGATTTGCTGCTTAAACATTCTCGGGTTGAAGCATCATCTTGGATTCTGATCTTGGAACTTGGAACTTGTGTTTCAGTATTTCCTGACTTAATTGCTAAGATATACTCGAGGGATAATTTGTGCCAGTAAAAAAGCTCCACATTACCTCCAGAAGCTGTGATCCTTCGCTCTGCAGACTACCCAGAACACATTTCACCCTTTCCCTGACAAAGTGGCTCTTTTTCCTCTTTTTATTTGATTTGGGTGTGGGGGGGGGGGGGGGACATCCTGGGTGGCATCCTGAGACTTTAATGCCATCACTGAGGGTATGATGAAAAGGAGGACGCGGGACGGGAGGAGGGAGCTTTGAAGGAACCGAAAGGTAGAAGTTATAGAAAGGCTTTCATTCCTTCCCATGGGAGGAAAAAAAGAAAAGAAAGAAGAAGAAAAAGAAGAAGCTGTATCCACTGTGGAAAGGGATTCAGGTATCAAACACACACACACACACACACACACACACACACACACACACACTGAGTAAGGCTCTGAGGATTTTGCATGAAGCAGACACCAGAGGGGCTGATGAAAACCAGAACAGAGTACCTGCCACCGCTGACCGAGGACAGACAGGAGACCCAGAGAGCATCCTGAAACTGAAGAATCAGTGTCACAGTCAAAGTGCTCCGACTGGAATTCACCTCAGCAACCAACGAGGACAGGAAACGCCACTTGGGGACGACCGTGGCTCACTGGGTTAAGAGGGTTGTCTGTCACGTGTCGTAGTGTCCCTGAGCAAGACACTGAACCCCCGGCTCCCCGGGCGCCTGTCATTGGCAGCCCACTGCTCCCTATATACAGGGATGGGTCAAATGCAGAAGGCAAATTTCGTGTATGTGTATATGACAATAAAAATGGTTTCTTCTTTTAATTAAAAACAAGCAAAGGAATTCTCGTCAAGGACGTTCAGTGGCACTTTTAAGGTCCACTCCTCCCTCGCTTCCACTCTTCCTCCCCCTCTCTCTCTCTCCTGCTGTCACCTTTCGACCCCCCCCCCCCCAAAGTAGCAGCTGGCGCCTCTATTATTGGCCACCGATGGGAGGAGGGAGCTTCTTAAAATGGTCACATTCGTTTGGGGGAAGTTCCCAGACTGACATGTGACACTAATGCCGCTACAACTATCACACACATATAAATATATATATATCTACATCTATATATTCACACACATGATCTGTCTCTGCATGCCGTCTACTGGCAGCCGTGGAGCGAAACACTCGGGATCACAATGCGCTTTACCTTCTCAATGAGATTTAGATATTTAGTGCAGAGATTAGACACTCTTTAGGTGTTGAGCCGGCTCGCTCTCATCCGGTGATCTGCGATGTGTCAACAGCAGAGTGAGATTATGCTTCCGGCGTGAGCATGAAGGACGTCTGCTTTGTTCTTTTACACAGAGAGTGTGTGTCTTTGTGATCACCGAGATCTGCAGCAGCATCGTAAACCTGC